GTATGTGATTTGTGTTGCTCTATGGTCTATCTTTTTTTGGTGAGGAAACGTCCACGAGTTAATCGCCTAGATTGACGAGCTGATAAGTAACCAAAGAAAGCACAACTGACTTACTATTTTGACAGATTTCCAAATTTACCAATACCACATTTTGTTGAAGCAGGGTTATAAAAACTGAAACCTTTTTTCCGCTGAAATGTGGGTTATTTAATCTGTGAACATTTCTCAAAGTATTTGATCGGTGCTGTATGGTATGTAGTCTGGATAGGTGATCAGCTGACCGATGAGCTAGATCAATTGGTTGGTTAGCCTGTCAACCTTTTCCAATAAAGGTTAAACCACATTTTATTTCCATAAAGGAAACTACTCACAAGGTTGCTGAAAACTCTTCATCAACCCACAACCGGTTTCGCTCTTCTTTGGGCTCATCCAGTAGGCACAGTCCCCGAGTTTCCGTCAACCTTATGATCTACTTGAACCCAAATTGGACTGTTAATTTCGTCCACAAAACGGCATCGTAGACCGCAGTATCACTTTTGACACTGATACTTCAGATTGTTTATACAGAAAAGAGTAGAAAGGGGATGGACCTCAAATCAAATCAAATCGTTCAGCTTTAGCATCCTTTCGGTGACTAGCTGACGTGCTAACGAAAGGAGGCACGAGGGCTGGGGTACTGCCAGGTTGTGCAAGCCTAGACAGGAGCAGTCGAGATGCTGCGCTTGGGTTCGAACCATGGACCTTCCGGTCCGTAAGCTGTCGTCTTAACCACTGAGCTATCTCGAGCCTCAATCTGGTGCGCGTACATTCCCAGACGCTTACTTCGAGAATATGCACAGAACATGACTTCACGAACAACATTGGCGCCGTTTAACAGCTATATCTTAAAATCAAACGAACTCGTCTAAGGACCCTACACGGGAAGGTGAACCTCACCAACGACACCCAAACTTTTTCTAGTCTTTGGCGCCCCTCTGCGAAGTCATCCATTTCCTACCTCACAGTTGGCGTCAGTTCGAAGCAGATGCAGGAGAACACATCCAGTCTCACTAGATAATGAGCTAGAGCAGTCGATTGGTCGGCTGAATCCCCAAATTAGCTGCAGACAATTTTGCGTCAAACAGTTCATGGCGATTTCTTGGGAAGCAGGCCGTTCATTGTACATGGTTACCTTGTCCTGTGGTGTCCTTGTGCTTTGCGACTCGTCAGCTCATAGTGAGACTGCTATTGTCAAGACGCAGTCTCCCATGAGGCTACAGGCCAATGCATACATAGTAGAGTACGTTGTGTTTAGTGGTTCTTTTCGAGCATAAACAATTGTTTACCCTACTGGATTCGAATACACGTTGGGGGATTATCGTAAGATAGCTGGTAATCAATCAATTGAAGTATTGGCTAGTCCTATCTGTCGCGTCCATCCCGGATGTCATATTGTCTCCACTCGGCACTTCGCGCTTAACCCCGCACAATAAATGACCAGTGCTCATCGCTGTGTGTTTTCTCTCTAACCTCGTGGACAGACAACAGGTTGTACATCTTTGGTTGTACCACTGTGGAAATCAAGAGTAGCGGGACTCATTGCGTGAATATCCTAAAAGGAGGAGGTTGTCCGTTGTAGAGGGGTTTCTCTGCATAAGCTGGCTCCATTCTTTACCCAGCTCCGCTGTTGTTGCCTCCCTTTTGTTTTGCTAGCAAGCCGTACGAGATGTTTCCATGCACCGTATTCGCCTACTGGAAGCAACTTTGGCTCATTTCCTCAATGACCAGTACTCTATGAACGCAGCCTTTGGTGGAGGATCCCATCCACTGTGTTATCGACCACCATCTCAACCTGGCATTCAGTCGTCAACAGCTAAACCTTACTTGACTGTGATTGGCCATTCACTTTGTCAACTCCAACAGCAGGCCATATGCGTCAACCGAATTGCTGATCTCTCCTTGCTAGACATGGAATCAAGGAACTTGCTGATGATTCATCGAACCGCCCAGTCCGCTGATGCCCTACCACCTACCCTTTCAAAGAAATCTGCTCGTAAGAGGAGTCGTGGACAAACGCTAGTCAACACGCGTCCGACAGATCCTGGTCTCATACAGTTGGCAAACGAGCGAGCGCTGGTATTTGGAATGCTGGAAGAAGGTCACAGTCTTTTGAGTGGTAGGCTTTGTTTTTTATCTTTGGCGATTTTTTCCGCTTCCCGGTGTTTTCTGCAAGCATCATCTCGAACCTCTCTTCTCCTTGTCATCAGAGTTGTCCCTCGATTCGCCTGATACATCCGCACTCAACGGCATCTATGCCGTCGTTCGTTGTTTGCGCGTCCTCTTGGAAGCAAAACCCCAACTTCTCTTCGCCATCACTGATCGTCCTGCAAAGCCTGAGTGAGTTCTTCACACAAAATCTTTTTTTGCATTGGGTTTAGTTCATTGCATTTTCCAATCACAAATTGTTTACCAGCGCATGTTCATTCCAGCGCGCATGGCATTTGGGCTAGATGCATAGCGGACCGTAAATTAGAGAATGAGAGTGGGACCATTGATCACCTGGACTGGCCGTGTTGATGAGGATGTCTAGCTATTGATCGGTGGAGCCTCTGTTACCCCGGTCCTGCACATGGCATGAACCAGTACCCCTGAGATCCCTTGTAAAGCTTTTCACGGTTTTTCTCCAAGTCATGCCGTGTCCACTCTTTACCGTTTAGCACAGGGAAGCAGTCACTCATCGTTCAGCTGTAGCGCCCCTTCGGTGCCTAGCTGCCATGCCACACGAAGGAGGCACGTGGACTGGGATACTGCAAGTTCGCCTAAGCCTAGACAGGGGAAGTCGAGAGGCAGAGGTCGGGTTCGAACCACGGACCTTCCGGTCAGTAAATTCGCGCTCCAACCACTTGGTCCAACTCGTCCCTAAGCAGTCACTCAACTTAAAACGGAACCAACATAGCTAGCTCATTCGTGCGACATCATCGATCGGACGAGCATTCAGTTTTCGACTTATAGACCCATTTCCATACTAATTCGGTTTTGATGGGTGACTCACCTGGAATTAAGCTGATTCTCTCGTTTCTGATGTTCTTACTCAACTGAATGTGCTGCTACACCAAGCCGCCTCATGTTTCAGTTGGCACGACATTCGAGGTGTCGCAATACATTGTATGGACGTAATACATTACTCATAAGTTTGATGAAAACCGCTCGACGGCCCACGATCGGTTCTACTTTTCTTGATAATCTCCAGGGAGGTCGAAGTCGGCCGTGGACTGTCGAAGTGCATCAGGTTTATTGTTGAATATCGTTCGTCGCACTTTATGCCTGCTAAACTGGTTTTCACGCAATTGATTAAGTTACATACTTCCGTACGAACAAACAACGGACTGGTTAGGCCATCGCCTTGACGTGTGGCTCTCATCCCCATATTCTTCTTGTCGTCAGCGGATAAATCTGTGGCAGTTAGAACCAGTGAACTTCGGTGAAAAAGTGAACTCCGAACTGAACCGGACTGCTCACACGGTACAGGTGAGATATTTTAGACACAACGAAGGTCAACTTGCTAGCAGTTTTTATCGCAAACTCGCGATCGCTGTGTTTCGCATTGATGAGTCACTACTGTGAAATTATGGCCTTTGCCTTCTTTGATATCATCGTCATCTTCTTCAGCTGTATACAAGGGTTATATCCGCCACAATTTTGCTCTCTGGGAGATAAGGATGGATGGTTGTGCAATTGGGACCTATGTGGATCAAGAAGTTACAGTGGACTTCTCATCGAGGGGAGGTCGGGAGGAGAAGCTACGCATTGAAGGCTACAGCTTGAATGCTTGCGTTCGGCTGGGGCATGTCGGACAACGGTCTCTTACTGTTGGTGTGTCCCTTCCCGGGGTCCCCATTTAGGGGACCAGCGCAACTGAGTTTGTTGGTAATAGCCTTCATATCTCGTTGCCAATTTATTCTTTGATGCCCCCCAGTTCGTTTTTCCACTTCAAATGCTTGTGCAAAAGGGCCATTCAAGGACGTCAGTCGACTGGCACATTGAGCACGTGACCAATCTAGCGCAATCTATGGAGTGTGGTCAGTTCATCTATCGTGGGCGAAAGCCATCGGACGTTCTTCAGCATTACTTATCCGGTGTTCCCACCAGAACTTGGGCACTGATCCGAAAATATCGATCTCAAACACTGAAAGTTTGTTTAGTATCATCAGCGTTCAGTGACCAGATTCCTGGCCCGCATAATAATATGGAATATGGAATATATGGGCGAGATGGCTCAAGTGGTTAGAGCGCGAATATACTGACCGGAGGTCCGTGGTTCGAACCCGACCTCTGCCTCTCGACTGGGTGGCAGTATCCCAGCCCTCCCAGCCTCCCGCGGGTTGCATGGCAGCTAGGCACCGAAAGGGTGTTACAGCTGAATAGTGTTTTTACGGAACGTACCGCAGCATTTCAAACTCGACCCTTTACATATGAGTTGATACCACGCCTGCGCCACTGGTGATACAGGTTTAAGAAAGCTTCTTTGGCCTTCCCAATGTGGACGGAAGTATCGTCTTTGACCAGACCACCGAGAGTGATACTGCCGCCCAAGTAGACTAACTTGTTTACTACTTCAGTCGGCTGGTGCATAAAGTTAGGGTTCGAGCCCACCCAGTCTTGGGGTAGCACTCCACAGTTGGTAGGTGGGAAACAGAATTATTTAGGTCATTTATACTCTTTTGCATTAGGATCGTGTCAGATTCAATGAGAGCTATGCCTTCTGTGTACTCGGTATCTGTGAAAGAATTCTCTGGAAGCACTTCGACCCCGTAGGCACTAAAGATAGGTACGGAGTCTCCCATGCTCATATCAGTTGCGATGTTGAGGAGGAAGGAGCTTCGCCGAAGAACCGATCTCAGGTATTCGCCATGTGTGAAAACAATTCGGTTTTTGTCCCGTACCCGTGGCTAGCTGTTGCTGTCTATCAATAATCAAGGTAGTCTTAAGGGTTTCTCCCTGTTTCCCGCACCAAACCTCCAAGAAAATGTATCAGGTTCCGAAAGGGATTATCGCCGGTCTTCTTGAATTACCAACCATTTCTTCTGGGAGGACCGTCAATCCCCAGGCAAAGTGTAGATGACCAGCCTCCTGAAAAATCGATATACCCCCCATATCTGGTTAGTGTACAGAGGATGTACGATTGTACCAGTTACCAATCTCTCCCACAAAGCCTTGTACGTCTGGCTCGAGAACCTTCATTTTGCCGTAACCTTTTTGGGTGGTCACTGGAATTGACCTATTACATTCACCTTTTGTTTTTTTCCAGCATTACAAACGTATTTGTACGTTTTGTGAACCGGTTGACTTTGGTATTTCCTATCCAGCCTTCCGATTCCCGCATTCAGAAGACCGTGGATGGCGTCAGCTCAACTCTGGTCGGTTCGCAGCGCCAGCTCCACCCAGGTCTTTCGCGTCAGGAAATGCGCCTTATTCGGAAAAGAAATCTCAAGCTAAAAAATCGGGAGCGAAATCGCACGGTGGATCAATCAAAGGTTCAGGGTAGGTGTTTGATCCAGACCGTTTAGCTAAAGAATGGGTCCCACGTTTTCGTTAAGGGGTCCCTTAAGATGGGAATTAACCGGTAAATCGGTTAGAATTCGCAGATGTGCACGTTGTTCATTCTTGATTCCTTCATTTTTCTGGGCGTTTTGGCGGTTAGTGCAACCGACAGAAACTCTAAAATCGACTCGAATCCACCCTACATTTGAATCACGCGTGACCAAACCGCACGAGCAGTACGTGGCGCTACAAACACACTCATTTGCAAATCAATTTGGTTTTCATGAGAGACTCAAGTCAGTCTCTCGTTTATGATGTTCTTCAACTGAACGTACTGCACACAGGCTGCCTCATGTTTCAGTTAGTATGATATTCGAGATATCGCGACCGGTCGTGGGTTGTTGAAGAGTTTTTCAGCAACCTGTGAGTAGTTTTCTTCATGAAGCATATAGCGCTGTTTACTACAATGGTGCACGCACGTTCTCCAATCTACCGGTGCGTTGTTGGCAACTTTTTTCAATTATTATTTGTGTTCAGGTGTATATTGCACACCACTGGAAGTTCAATTTGTTTTATACGATCCAAGGCTAGCTAGGGTCGTAGCTCTACCGGTGTTAGCCACAAGCGGGTTTATGGCCAGTTGATTTTTTTGACCGTACTACTTTTAATTTGAAAGTAGTCAGAAATTAGTCAGTTTCACCATACACTTTATGTCCCGTCGTTCAGACGCTTCAATGGCGCGCACACCATGAGACTTCACCCAACTCATTCGCAGTCTTCTGAAAACGGGCTGCGCAAAGCTGTCGGCGTTTTCTACCAAGGGCACGTCTCTCGAATAATGCGAATCTCCAAGATACTTGCAGGATTGTGTTAACCGTTTTTTTAACTGTTGGAAATTAGTGGCGTTATGCGCAATGTACATAAAGATTACACAGTCTGCCTGATTGATCTGATCGTTCAGCTGTAGCATCCTTCCGGTGCCCAACTGTCATGCCACCAGAGAGAGGCACGAGGGCTAGGCTACTGCCAGGTTGCCCAAGCCTAGACAGGGGAAGTCGAGAGGCAGAGATCGGGTTCGAGCCACTGGCTTTCCGATCAGTGAATTCACACTCTAACCACTGAGCCATCACTCAGTCTGCTCAGAGTTGGACTGTTTCCTAAGGGGTCGCGAACTGATGTTTCCGCTCAACAGTTTTGCTGTGCTCCTGGGCTCTGTATATCAGCTCTACATATCAGACTACCTATTCTGGACGCTTACTACTTTGGCGACGGTTGTGTGTCACGAAGAAAACACAGAGAGCCTGATGCATTCTTTCGGATCGGTCTATGACTCTCCGCAATGTTGTTGCTCCATGGTCTGCGGGCGCATACTGATCATAGTACTGTATCGCCTTACAAGCCGTCGACGGTCGATTTTTACCTTGTTTGTCCATGGAGACACACTGCCTACTTAGTCTAGTCCTCTGGAGAGTAGTCCAAAATCCCAGTTGGGCTATAATGTTGATCTCCTCGTCTGACGCTACCAGAACACAGTGCATGCGTTTTTTTCTTAGACTCGTTACTGCGACACGTAGGTGTTTCTATCTCTTTTGGCGATAATTTCGAAACGGCGCCGCTTGACAAGGTCCTTACTGAACGCCGTGGGAACAGCAGGTTCTCGTAGTACAAGCAGGGGGCGTAACAAAAAACATTTGTGGCTTTCTCACATGCGTCAATAAATTTCAGTCCAGACACATCCAAGGGGCGTTTTTATCAGCGCTTGAAATTCCCACGTAATGCGACGGTTGTGGCGTCCGGTGAAGCCCTGCATGCGTGTGGGTTGTTCGCCTGTCCGCCAAAGATGCCGAACTGGGGACAGTTTAGTCTATGCCTTCGGTTAACGGAAACAGAGACACCCAAATCTACCTGAGAAACACAAGTTGCAGTGATAGTAAACACCAATAAGTCATCTGACATGCAGCTTGCTCGTCCCAATAGACCGTAGTGTGATAAGTTATGGACAGTAGGGCGTCGTTCAAACTATAAACATTTTTCGCCGCCCTATCTGGATTCCCACAGTGTGTCTGTCTGCAAGAGGTTACCGCTGGTCTCACCAAAGACAAAAAGGTTGTTAGAGTCAATTGTGTTATGGAGAGGAACGAACTGACCGTCAAATCTCCTTGCTTCCTTGCTATCAAGGAGCACCGGATACTGGATGCATTCAGTGATCTTCCTCACATGTGGTTTGATTCAGTGGCCTGTCAACCAGTGGATCGTAGTCAGAGATGAATATGATTCAATGCAACATTGGATTACAACGGGTCATTGGCGAAACTCGGTGAATCGGAATTTGTCACCGGTTGCTAGAGCTTGCATACGTGCCTCCGGTACGAGGTGATTTATTCTTAGTGAAACTATTTGTTGTGGGTGCTTTCGAGATTTGTGGTGTTCGCATTCGCATCCTGTCCGGATGCCAATCGTCCCTAATAAACGAAGATCACATCATTTAGACGGACCAGGACACACGAAGGCATACCCTGATTGGCCAGAATGCCAGCCAATCCGGATCGAGCATCTTTGACTGGACGCTTGTTGCCTCCTCACGGAGATTCCACCGCGAACTTGTGGAGCACTCTGTGATTACCCTATAAATACAGTTGTAATAATTTTCCCTTGTCTTCATAAAGGGCTGTCTAAAACTACCGTGCTTGTTGATATACCATAGTGGGCGGAGCAGGAAGCCAAGGAACCGATACAGAGTTGTACTACCGTTCATCAAGACAACACATCCCCTTCATCTTAACAGTCCTGTCCGTCATTCTGGTTGTTCCACACTGGACCCGACTTTAGGTCCCGTTAGACCTTATCCTTGGTCGTGCCGGGACTCAAACTCCAGACGTAGGCGAGCATGTTCTCACTGCTGCAACGCCATACGTCAGACGCACCTGAACAGGCGAATGTGCTCTCGTTTGGGCGATGGCTTGCGTGACAGTATGTCAACTGGCTGGCAACACTCTGAACGGTGTGCTAAGCGCGTCCAAATGCGGCTCAACTGGCCTCCAGTGCCAGTCTATCCAGCCACCCTCAGGTACTTTCATTTGAACGCGACGAAACATTTGGCATCGCGAAGACTCAGCCCCGGACAACTTACATCCTACTTTATTCAAAGGTGGATAACATGTTCGTGAAACCTCCGCCCTCCCCATAGGGAACAATCATTCTGACCAGGTACCATGAGCAGCCGCGGTAATGAGAACTTGGTTCATTCACATGGACGTAATTGTTCACGACTCCCATAGCGCGCCGAGTACCGATGATATCATCGTCATCATCATCGACAGCATGACATCAGTGTTCAACACTAATGCTTCGCTGCCGTACATTCATAGTTTATTCGAAAGCCTCTTTGTGAAGAAAAAATAAAGGTGCACGGAGGAATGGAATAAGCGCTAGCTTACTACAATCATTCCGAGATGCCCACACCTCCAAACGTTTATTCGAAAGCATTTTTGTGAAGAAAAATAAAGGTGAACGGAGGAATGGAATAAGCGCCAGCTTACTACAATCATTCCGAGATGCCTAGGACACTTATTCAGGCAATATGGATAGAAACTGACAAGGACGAAATTGATATCAATTTGCAGCGTCTCCAAATTGGGTCACGCGGTCACCATCCTGAAAGGCGAGTAGCACCGACAGCACCCAACCGTTTCGGAATCTTTTCCATACCCGTCTGCCAGGTCAAGGGTTGGCCATCAGTCTATTCCCACCATTCTGAATTGGGCACGGATAACAGTACGCTCTTCGGCAAACGATGATTTGGCATGCGCAATGGATGGCCCAACCATCGCGGCTTCTGGCACTGAATACATTCTTCAATGGAATTACTCGTTGCACAACCGAACACTCGTTATTTAATTGCCTCGTTGCGAATTATCTTAAGCCAACCTACACGGGCTATGGTCCCTAGAGAGCGATTTTCGAACGCCTGAAGACGTCTGAGTTCCACTGCTAGAGCACACCAAGTCTCACAACCCGCACTGTCGTCTGCTACACACGTGCCTCGATATTCCGAGATAACACCACTTTGACGATTCAGGTGTCTCAAATTAGCAAACGCGACCCGGGTCTTGCAGATTCGTGCATTGACCTGATCTGTCACCACAATCGGAACTGAAATAACTTCCGATGTACGTGAAACGCTCTACAACTTTGCGTTGTGGATTTTAAGCGACGTGTTTTGTGGCGAGCATGACCTTACATTTTGTGGGTGCAAAGTGCATACGAAAGAACGGGATGACTTTGGTCAGTTTATCCAAAAACACCTGCGCCTCCTCTTTGAAAACGTGTACGACATCGTCTGCATATTCCAGATCGACAAGGCCATTCGATCACCAGGGTTTCGAAGACCTTCGAGCGTTCGATTCATTATTTCATCGATCACGAAATTAGATAGGAATGAAGTAAGTGGGCACCCCTGACGGACACCACTTTGTGTACTAAAGGTTTTCGAGAGAGGCGTGACATATCATTCGTGGTGTTACGGTACTAGGAACCTATCGGTAATACACTTTCCAGTTTTCGAGATTCTGATCTCAACTAGGTTCTTGTCCATTCCAATTTTATGGATTCCTTCAGCTGAAACGTGAACAGCTTCTCTACTTACAGTGACGGTTGACTTGGCCGGTTATGAGCAAGTCTCCGAGGCGAGTAGAAGTCTAGTGCGCGTCCATGAACGTAGAAGTTCTTTGTTATTTTAGACAGTGAAATCCTTTTTTCCGCAGTTATTAGCACTGTGCAAATCGGAACGCACTCTATGCGCGTCACAACACGAAATAACGTAACAGAGCTGATCAGAAGTGGCCAATCTGGAGTGGTGGGGAATCCCTATAATCTGTCCATCTTGGCCGAGGGAATTCGATTTGATTTAACCTCGTTTTATTCTCTCTGTTCCTTGTCAGTTCCCGCTCCAAGCGCCGTTCAAGCGTCTGTTCCCATTTCGAAAGTACCACCAATTGTTCTGCGTGTGAATCAGGCAGTTTTTGAACTTTTTCCTTGGTTGGAATGGGCTGCCCATAGCAACCCACAGGTGTCGGGACTGTGGTCACCACCGGACGACATGTTGAATCGCTTTATGGAGTTTTTACTGACCGAAGTATTTGTCGAAGATAGCTGTGGTGTCGGAGACGGTGGCCCGTCACTTGGGAACCTATTGGCGTGGCTACGATCTTTCGACTTTTACCTCTTGGCGCCAGTTCGGTATCCGCAGCGATTTTGGTGAGTAGTGTTCCACGCTGTCCCTCCAATTCGTCTGGTTAACTGACACGTTTTAGCGACCACTGGGATTGTTTCCAAATAGCTTATGGTGGTAAGTAAGCATTTTCAAACATTATTTCGAAACGGAACTTCATAAACATCGGCTTCGGTACTCAACATCTCCCCTTTTGTGTCGAGTACACTTTTGTTGCGGAAGCAAGAATCTAGGATTAAGGAAACTAACTTTGTGCCAGTATACTCTCGCTTCAGTTATTCTGGTGAGTCTACTCCAAAGGGTCAAGTTTAGCTCTTATCTGTGCTTCATCATTACTGTTAAGCCGCTCAAGTGAGGTAATAAATAATCGTTTAGCTGTAGCACCCTTTCAGTGCCTAGCTGCCATGCCATCTCGAACGAACACGAGGGCTGGGATACTGCCAAGTTGGGAGCGAGATGGCCCAAGTGGTTAGAGCGTAAATTTACTGTCCGAAAGGCCAGTGGTTCGAACCCAACCCCTACCTCTCACCTTCCCGTGTCTAGGCTTGGGCAACCTGGTAGTATCCCAGCCCTCGTGCAACCGTCTGGGGGCACGGCAGTTAGGCACCGAAAGGGTGCTACAGCTGGACGGTTATTTTACTGCCAAGCTGTCCAAGCCTAGACGAGAGCAGCCGAGATGAAGAGGTTGGGTTCGAACCGCGGACCTTCCGGTCAGTAAATCCGTGCTCTAACCACTGAGCCACCTCCCCCCACAGTTGAGCTAGCCATGAACCCTTCCAGTGTACCTACTGACATTTCGAACCTGTCACACTGAGGCTCAATAACCAGAATTGTTGTGCTTCATTTTTTTCTGTGAAAATCCTTTTGGTTCCAAGCATACACTTCTCCCTCGTCAATCAGCCTATCCGAATAGCTCGTTTATTTTGGTAGATAAGGTAAAATAATCAAGCACCCTTCGGTGCCTACCCGCTATGCCATCCCAAGCGAACACGAGGGCTGGGTTACTGCCAGGTTGCCCAAACCTAGGCAGGGGAAATCGAGAGGCAGAGGTCGGGTTCGAACCACGGACCTTCCGGTCAGTAAGTTCGCGCTCTAACCACTTGATCCATCTCACCCCCTCGTTTAGTTTGGTACAGGCTGTCAAGGTCCACCCACGTATACCCAACTGCACGTCGATTTTCCGATGTCGCACCTTGTTATAACTTGCTGGACGGTAGTGCAACTCTGTGTCGGTCCCTTGGCTTCCTGCTCCGCCCACTATGGTATAGCAAAAGGCACGGTAGCTCTACACAGCTCTTTATGGAGACAAAGGAAAATCATTATAACTGTATATATATAGGGTAGTCACAGAGTGTTCCACAAGGTCGTGCCAGAATGTCCGTAAGGGGGCGTGGACCGTCGAGTCAAGGTGCTTGACTCGGATTGGCTGACATTCTGGCCAATCAGAGCATGCCTAGTCTGGCCCGTTTCCTGCACGTGACACATGCGTCCAAATGATGTGATGTTCGGTTATTAGGGACGGCTAGCCCCCGAACACACCTACATCGGCCTCCAGATCTTTTAGGCCCAGGGGCGACGGGCTGGATCGACTGAGAGTCGAACATGGGACATCGTAGATACGGTATACGAGAGTCGCTCATTCAGGCCCTACAGTGTCACGCCGTAGCGATAGATGAATTATTCACGCTTCATAGGATGCTACGTCTTGGCGATGGATGAATTGCTCACACTTCATAGGTTAGGACATGTACCCCGCATACTAGATGACCTGCTCTGCCTCAGGGAGGTCTTTTTGCCCAGCCCTATGCTGAGTGGAAGCGATCGCGAGGTGTATGACCTGATAATGAAGTACGAAAACACTAGCCAATAAACTTGGTTGGGTCGGCAACTACCGCCTCCCTGGATGGGGACTGCGGGACTCAAATCACCAGTGTTTCATGACTTTGGCAAAAATGGCCCAATCGCGTAGTCCATGGCGCTCGTACATCAAAGCTATTGCCTTGTCGCGTAGTCCACGGTGCTCGTACATCAAAGCTATCGCCTTCAGCTACCCAGTTCCCGGACTAACCAAGGCTTGGCTGTATGTTCCGCACTCTCCCCTTTTCCAGTGATCGACACTGGAACCAGTGTGCATATGCTACATTGTCTTTAGCTGATAAATTGATTAAATTGATTGACACCGTGGTTAGAATGGCTTGTTTACTGGTAAGAAGCGCTGCATTTACCCGCTCGACCCAACAGGTGGACAGACTGTCTGTCACCTTTTGTATTCGCGAACAACCATAAAATCGTATCTCGAGTACAGTATAAACCGAATAATATTTGAACTTAACGATACAGATTGACGGCCACGAAATAAAGTTCTTCCGGTTTTTCGAATGTTCGATTCTTTCCGCTGCCCTCTCTATCCAGATGGGGACAAAATGTGACATGATTTGCTCTCGGTGCAAAGTTGGTACTCGGAGCTACAGGTGGGCATCAATATTGGCCAAACCCTTCGAATGATAACTGCACGTATTGTAAGGTATTCCACACGGGTCCATATGCCATGGCTTGTCTCGTCAGGTCTGGACAATGTTGAATTAGGTAAGCAGGGGTGCATTGCGAATCGTAAGTGAGCAAAAGACGAAATTCGCGTCATCACATCACGCACAATATCTATCGAGTCACCCTAATTTCTGTTGTAGCGTGAGTTACGCCGGAACTGTGCCTGCCAGACTACGCAGGACAGCGAAACCGAGACACGGCTGTCTTGTCAGGACAAACACACAGAGCGTACGCGTAACTATGTAGGATGGCTGAATGGCCAGCTATGGTCACTCGCTAGTTCGTTTTGTCGACGTTCCTGCCGTGAACAATTTCACACCCACTCCGCTAGTCGCATGCCACTAAGCCGCCAACGCACCCGCTGCTATCCAGAACGTGTGATGCTGATGGTGACCTTGGGGACGCGTAGTTCTCTGCACATGTCTGAACGCTTTCTGACAATTTCTGCATTTAAGAATACATTAGGATAACCTCCTTTCCCATTGAGCATCGTTTGATTGGGTCAGGCTTCGTATGGTGAACAGGCTATTGTTATCCAGTGACAGAATATATAACAAGATCGTTGTATTAATTCACACCTGAATGGCCCAATAGACGTGGTTGCCATGGCAACTGTCCTAATCTGTCGCGCTGTTCCTTTATTGTTACTGTTTAGCCAGACGATATGCAGACGTCTTCCAAGCGGTTTTATCACTTGCTCGCTTCTCGTGTTTTCGCGGTTTACGTTACCAACATTCTGAAGGTACGCCACTGTTTTTTTTCACGTTTTTTGGCTTTCGTGAGTGGGATCCAGGACAGTTTGGTTCACAAATCCAAAGGTACGCTATTTTTCTTCTTCATAATTACATCCACTTTGTTCTTCAGCAAGACTCCTTCATCCGCGCGTCTATTTTCGCCCGTGATTCTACTGTGTCTTGGTCGAGTCCTTCATCGGGGTCTCACTACGAAACAAGCAGATCCTGGACGGCCGGTCGCTCGAGGACAACATCGACTACTCGGCCGCGCTGCTGGACTGCTCGTGGCCTTCCTCACTCACGAATCGCGGCAAACCATTTGCATCAGTAAGACAGACAAGAATCTCGAAACAAATCTGATTGACAGTGTCAAAGAAGATGATGACGCTGAGAAAAACTGGGTTGCGCCACAGTTTGACTACGACGAATCTTGGCTAAGGTGAGCTGAGTTCATGAGATTCTGTACTTCTGTACGGTATTGAACAGTGTAACGACTCATCCTGACAGAAAATTCCCAAACAGAAGATGTCATTTTCCCGAGGTCTTTTATTCTTAGCTAATTGCATCACCAGTAGGCGATTCGCTTTGAGGAAACGGTCACGCGAGTCGGTAAGGATTTATCGAAACGGCGTGGTTATTTTTCTTACCGAGTCTCTTTACCCAACGTATGCCCTGAATCTCACGAGACGCGTCTATCAGCCTGGACTGTTTTGTCGTGTGGCAGTGAGACTTGAACTGTTCGAGCAGCGGAACTGAGACGTCTTCAGGTTTTCGACAATCGTTGTCTCAGGACCATAGCTGGGGGGGGGGAGTTGGTGTCGGAAAATCCGTAAAGATGCAGTTAGAAGGCGAGTTATCGGTTGTGCAACGGATACTCCCATTGAAGAATGTGTCCAGCACCACAAGCTGCGTTGGGTAGGCCATCTATTGCTCATACCGAACAATCGTTCTCCGAAGAGAATGCTATTTTGCATCCTCAATTCAGAGTGGTAGAAGCAGAGAGGTGGTCAACCCCTGACCTGGCAGAGGGGTATGAAGGAGATTACGAAACGTATGGGTGCTGTCGGTACTACTCGTTTTCCAGGATGGAGACCGCGAGCTCCCTACTGGTCATATACAATGCCATTCTCCACAGATCCACTCTTTTCTGTTGGGAGCGTTCTGTCGTACGCTTCCGGCAATTTTGTGGTTTTCGCCTATCATGAAATTATGGGCCGGCTGCAAGAGTGTCAGCGCCAGACGTTCTTGTTACTCATCAGGAGAGTTCGGTGCAGATGAAATTTCAAACAGTACTCGGATGTTCACCCTATGCCGACCAAGCTGATCGAAGCCCTCCATTCCCAGGCACCGGTGTCTCTCCTTGCGGAAGGGAGGGGTGTGAAAACCATCTGGAATGAGTAATGCACTCTTGGTCCCTACCCACGCCCATGAAGCTTGGTTGCGCAAACGATATTATTGGGTGAACGAGCCATAATCATTGACCGGTATGATAAACTGACTGTCCTCTACACCGCTGTCAATCAACCATCAACACGGTTAAGGGGTCGGTCATTAATTAGTTTGTGCTTTAACCTCAAATTTTGGCACCATTCACACTGTACTCTTCCTTGGCGACTGATTTGAGTTGGAACAATCGCCCCCCTCGTTCAATGTGTTGGATTAGCGATTTCCAGAGAGCAGTTTTCCCGCTTGCTCTGACTTTCCACACAAATCTGCGTTAAGTTTGCATCCCATTCCCGCATTTATCAGTTCTGTCTGTAATGTACCACTCTCCAGTACCATCGTATGGTTGTGCGTATAGAAATCACAAGAAGCAGGTCACTTTATGGCAAGTTCTGTCGAACTAGGGTCCCCCGAACACGCCCGAATCGGTTCAGATTTTCGGAACGCAACACCGGGATTCCTCTTCACGACTGACGTAGTGAGACAGTCCGTGGGACACTGGTAAGTATCCAGTCGCCGCATTAGCTAGCCTGCTGGGCCACTAAACCAGCAGTTGATAGGCAGGTGACAACAAGTGGCGTAAGCGAGGGCTAGGTTAGAAAATGATGCTTGTCGATTTAAGGTCCAAAGACCAGCCGTCCCTAATAATCGAACATCACATCATTAGGACGGATGCAACTTGCAGGCTACGGACCAAACGAAGCCATGCCCTGATTGGTCAGAATGCCAGCCAACCCGGATCGAGCATCTTTGACTTGACGCTTCTCGCCCCCTCACGGAAATTCTAGCACGACCCTGTGGAATATTCTGACTACCCTATAAATACAGTTGTAATGATTTTCATTTGGCTGAATGAGGAGTTTTCTGAAGCTACCATGCCTTATGATATACTATATTCTGTGGAGCAGGAAACCAAGGACCGATACAGTGTCACGACCTTTCAGCAAGCCACAACATGTAGTTACATGCAACGCTAACTACCAAAGAAAACATTGGTTTTTGTTGCGAGCCGCTGTTGGGGAAAGGTTCCCGGGGGGGGAGAGACGGTTCGTGACGTGATAACGAGAAATGAAAGTGAATTCATTCAAACTGAACGCTGGAAGATCTTCGCGCCCTCCTTGCCGGAGCTCCTGTGACCCTCCGTGCATATGGCTAACATCACTACAGGCTGTGACGAGCGTGCTGTCACCAGTTTGCTGGACTGTCTAGCTCAAGTTGCGCACTGGGTTTATCTTCGCAAAGGTTGGTAGGTCAAGCCCGCTCTAACCGCACTTTACTCTGACTTTGCGCTGAGTTTTTTTTCGGTGCCGTTCAAGCATGCCTTATTTTATCGTTTTTAATGAGGTTTCGCACTGTGTTCTCACCTCTCCCTTTCGAATTTTTACTGAGACATTCATTCCTCAGGGTAGAGTGACACCCAGACATCAGTACTCATTACCGGCATGTAACTGTCAGCGGTGATAATGATATTTGGCGTGTATCCCACTGTGTTGATCGTTCACAGTCTGATTTTTGTTACCGATGACATATCACTTCCGTCGCATCATACCCCCTGTTCGCTTTCCCATTCTGCTTCTCTATCGGTTGCTGTCCTGCTTTCGGAAACTATGTTTCGCCACAGTAACCAGCTATCGATTTGTTACGTGAATTAGATTATTCGTGTCATTGGGACGCGTGTTTCAGGTGATATGTCTGCCTAAAGAAAACATTTTGATCGCCGCTAAAGTGGGAGACTAGTGATTTCACCGAGTGGACATTAGTGTCCGTCCGGACAGAGCGCAGTGACGTAACCATTGAGCTGTTCACATTGTTCCCCTCCAAAAAAGCACTTGAGAACGCTATAGACACGAGCATAGAGTGTTTTCTCGTAGAGTGCACGAAATTTCGAGTCACGCCTGACGTTCACTGTGCCAACTCAAACTGGACTTTGCTGCACCTCTGGTAGCGATAAGCTGTCCCGGGGCTCGGCTCATAGCTCCGTTTCTGTGGCATGGATCAATTCGACGCCGCCCTCAGGTGTATTTTCGACCTTTCTCTACAACGACCTAAATATGTGGACGCTCAGTCCAATTTGGGTTCAAGGAGAACATAAGGTTGATGGAAACTCGGAGACTGCGCCTACCTGATGAGTCCCAAGAAGGGCGAAACCGGTCGTGGGCTGTCGACGGATTTTGCAACCTTGCGAGTAGTTTCCTTTATGTGGACGTTCAATTGAGAGGGACTGTTAACTTGTGCTTAGCATGGGAGGGGACTGCTATGAGTGGTGCGGTAAAATCCAAAGCTCGGAGTTATTTTAACTTAGGATCTCTGTCCTAATGTACAAGAATAAAAGTCCGCATGTGTGTACTTCGAATAATCAAATGCTTGACGGCAAAACATTAAAGACAAAAATGACTGGGTACGTGACGCATCAACTGTAAAGTATGTACGAATGCACAGTAACACAGGTTACTGCAGGTGTCCACTCACTGGTCGCATGGAGATGGGATAATGCTTGTGCGGAGACCGCTTAAAGATGAAAATCTGACGCAGTGGTGCTATCGACCGCGCGTTCTAATGAATCCACTGCAGCTCTGGACGTTGGCTATCCTGACTGATGAGCAGCCTCGTTCATGCTGCCTACGCCTGGCGGTCGGTCACACTCACCAATCAGACATGTTATACATTTGCTTCCTAATTGGTTTCCGTTTTATACAATTTCGCGTTTTCTTTTCTAAACCATCATCTGAGGATGTTTGTGATTCCCCCATTTTTTTACACAGCGTTTGTCCTGTTTTCGTTCCTTACTGTTTCACATATTTGTCTGTGACTATATCTCACGCCTAGGCTTTGATTGCCTCATTGTTGTTGATTCGGTCCAAGCAAGTATTCTTGTACGTATGCTGTTCATTCACTGTGCTGGTTCACTGTTGCACGCTTTGTTGGGACTTCTACCACCTCACCCCCTTGTTTTTCTTATGCAGACAAAAATTAACGGACCTGGGATATACGCCCGAAGAAGATGAAACATCTCACGCTCCACTCAATATCGTCTCGCAGATTGGTCAATTCCTTTGCACAATGCTCCTCAACGAACCACCGCGCCTACTTTTCGCCTCTCCCATTTCGATCCAGTCTGCGCAGTGGATCAATGAACACATGGAACAAACTAACCTCCCCTCTTCTGAGATGGCATCCCGAGCGAAACGTCTAATACCTGTCCAATTGGTAGACGACACTTGGGCTGGTTGCGTACTTCGTTTGAAATCGTTGGGGGTACGCTTTCTTTAATAATTGTCTTCAGATCCCCCTCCGTTCGACTAATATACATGAAATGAATAGTGGTCAATCGTGACCACACGCGCTCCTTGTGTGACCTTGGTTCCCCTGGATGTAGATATTTTAACGCGACCAGCAGTAGGTTCGCTCATACGTTCAGCTGCGTCTCAGTGACCAAAAAAGTTAACCTGGTGGGCATCCCGGTTACTAACTTTCAGAACTACTTCGATCGCAGGTCCTAATCCATTCCTAATACCTCGAACCCGAATCTGGATAGCACAGTCTGGATAGCCTCTTGGTAGCCTGATGCGCTTGACCAAACTAGAAAGCCAATGAACGTGCGAATCAGCTGATCTACTGAGCACTGATGCGTACGAGCATGTCACGTGCAGCCGAAAACGGGCTATTTATAGAGCTCACGTGGAAAGTTCCAGGCGGACCAAAATGTGGTACTAAAAATAGAATTCATCTGTCCCTCCTTTGGTATTTGCGTGTGTCCAGTTACGTTCGAAGCTGGTTCTCCTAATACACTGTAGTACTGCTTTCTCCTCGAAGAGACACTTCCACAGGAGACAGTATTAGAGACACGGAATTTCTTTTTCGAGGAAACAGGTCCCGTTCCTCAACTCAACTCCTCAACTGATTCGTTCGCCTCTCAAGAGGGGACAACACATTAGAAATTTCCTCCGACTCGGACTTATTGCTTGACTAACTCTTCAGGGACAACTGATATGGCAGCCGGTAAATGTGACCTGACCTGGGCGATAATTCATCCTTAGATACACATCCAGTGCCATTCGTTAAGGCCGTTCATAGTTGAAGTGTCGGTTCAAGGTTACGTAACTGAAGGCAGATGAGGCAACACACGGGTTTCTCTTGGGTACCGTCGTTTTCCTATTCGCATGATGGCCTATCAGATAGGTGTTGAAAATCGATAGTTCCAGATGACCGACGCTAACGACAATCATACTGACGTGCCGCATTATGCTGGTGTGTCAGCGACCCTCAAGACTTTCAAATCTGGGGCATTCGGATGAAAGGGGGATTCAGTTTCACCCTGAAGAAAGCCATTGAGAAATCGGGGGTAAACGAAATCTTCCCATCTGTGTACAGGAGACACGCCATGCGGTTCTTATTGCTTAATCCGCGGTGGAAAATTGTGAAGTATATCCCTTTGGGAGAGTAGTACTGTGCACGATGAGGCCCGAATAACCGTAGCAACAGTGTTAGTACTTTGGAAAGTTGTGCTTATGTCCAGAAATACACTCATTCGCGAATCAGTTTGGTTTTCACGAGAGATCCAACTGAATCTCTCGTTTATGATATTCTACAACTGAATGTGCTGCACACAGGCCACCTCATGTTTCAGTTGGCACGATATTCGAGATATCGCAGTATATTTTCATACAGGAAACTACCCACAAGGTTGCTGAAAACTCTTCAGCAACCTTGTGAGTAGTTCCTTTATGAAACGTGTGCTTAAGTCCTTTCTTTAGAAGAACGTGGCACCACATCCGGTCTTTGACCGTCTGATGTTGATATGGCCCAATAAACGTGGAATTAGATCATTAGCGGCCTCAAGTCACAGAATTCTGCTGCACAACCTAGCAGTCTGCTCCGAGACCCATTCCTTCTAATCAGTGATTGCATCCTTTGATTCCGACCGCAGTTTTTCAATCCTGGTGTAAAGACGAACCATATTCCCCCCCTGCTCCGTACTTGTGTTCGAGGTCAAAGCTAACAGCACCAGTTCGTAACTGTTTCGACCAATGCCCGATTTTCTGTGTAGCAACCGGATAGCCAAACTTCCAAACATCCTTTGAAGCTCCTGACAGTAAAAAAGGCTCCACAGTTCTTCCCACGTACTCATGCGGTCAGAGAGTGTGTAGTAACGGTATTTCTTGCAGCTTAGTTCTCGGTCTGAGCCCCCCCAAGCTAGCGTTCACGTCAAAACAACCACCAAAGGTGCACAAAGTATATTAACGCCCAAAACGAAGTCAGGAACACTTCTACAACACTTCATATATATATATAGCTTAGGCGACAATAACTTTCTGAAAATTCTGACGCATTCTGGATGCGACATTGGAAACCGGCATTTAGCCAACACTGGGTCATGATTGGCTGTTGGGTCCAGACTTTCGACCAATCAGATCTCGGCTTGATGCCTGACCGGCAAGCGTCCGGAACAATTGGCCAATCTTGCGTGGGATGGGCTTCTCGGCCGTTGCAGCACCTGACTGCGAGCGGTAAAGCGGGATCCGTGTGGAATTCCGCCTAACAGAGTGTCGAAATCTGGCGTCTGTCCGCACAACATTTTATTGATCCAGGCGAACTACCTTAGTCGGTGATGTGGAGAAAAGGTCGTGGTTTGAATTGAAAGGTAGTGTCGGGATGGCCACTATAGAGGAGCGATGGCGCTACGTGAGCAAACTTACTTCACAAAGGGTTAAACGGAGCATCCCAACTAGCTAGTTGGAACCTAAGTGGACCACTCGTGAATACCACGAACATGCTTCAACGCGTAGAGCAGCTATGTCCTTCTTCCGGCCTGAATTTACAATACAACTGGTAACTTCCTAGCCTATCTTGTGCCCCAGAATTGCTGTTAGCCTCACGTCGGACATTAAAAGGATATCGAACTCAATCGGTGTGTTTTAACATGACTTTGTGGCTAAACCGGTGCTCGGCTGTCATCATGCGTTTCTCGCACCGGCCCAGGTAGGTTTTTTGGGTTAGCTCCTTTTACCATTCCACCGTGCTTGGTCAGTTGCGATTCGAGACATCCGGGAAACCGACTCATCCGCGTGCAGCATAGTTTTTTATCGTAACTCTGAGTCGGCCGGTATTGCTTGAGGCATCCAAAATTTCGGCTGGTTATTTAATCGTAATACTCCTTAAATCTCGTCGTCAGAACGATGACCAGACCGCAGTCAATAGTGTAAACCCGAACTCACATTTTGGAATGCAATTTTTTCTGTGTTCTCATCCTTCCAGTACAAACCAGTGATCGAGGCTCTGACATCCAACCCAGACTTGGAAATGCGTTTAGCCACATCCAGACGTCTACAAGACCAATTGATCCCACTGGAGACACTGGCGACGGAACTTCACCTGGCTGTGTCCGAAGACGCGACTTCTGGTGATCAGCTGGGATGGTTAGTACCTGGTTACCTACCCGATACTTCAGGACGCTATGCAGCTCCGATATTTTGGCAGACGACCAAAGAATATCGTCACTCATATTCGTGGTGGACGGCGCACTTGTGTAAATAAAACAAAGACCTTGTGAACTCGATGCTGCTCTTTTTCTTGAAAATGGAAGGTTCTCTCGTAGATATTTTGATGTTGCTCTAGCGAGTCCCGAGCGATGTTGGCACTCTGAACACCCGTCGAGTTGGACTGATTCTTCAACTTTGGGGCGGACATCTTTTTTCCGCTCAGTGGGGGCTGTCTTAACCAAGGAAATCTGTTCATTAATATCGTGATTCTGTCATCAGCGTTGGAAACAGGAAGCTTTGTACAATTTATTCCTCCCTCCCAAGAGCGTAAGTTGGTGTCAATGCACGAGGTTGCCCAAACCTAAGGAAAGTCGCTGACATCCAACCCAGACTTGGAAATGCGTTTAGCCACATCCAGACGTCTACAAGACCAATTGATCCCACTGGAGACACTGGCGACGGAACTTCACCTGGCTGTGTCCGAAGACGCGACTTCTGGTGATCAGCTGGGATGGTTAGTACCTGGTTACCTACCCGATACTTCAGGACGCTATGCAGCTCCGATATTTTGGCAGACGACCAAAGAATATCGTCACTCATATTCGTGGTGGACGGCGCACTTGTGTAAATAAAACAAAGACCTTGTGAACTCGATGCTGCTCTTTTTCTTGAAAATGGAAGGTTCTCTCGTAGATATTTTGATGTTGCTCTAGCGAGTCCCGAGCGATGTTGGCACTCTGAACACCCGTCGAGTTGGACTGATTCTTAAACTTTGGGACGGACATCTTTTTTCCGCTCAGTGGGGGCTGTTTTAACCAAGGAAATCTGTTCATTAATACCGTGATTCTGTCATCAGCGTTGGAAACAGGAAGCTTTGTACAATTTATTCCTCCCTCCCAAGAGCGTAAGTTGGTGTCAATGCACGAGGTTGCCCAAACCTAGACAAGGAAAGTCGAGATGCTGTGATTTGGTTCGAACTACAGTCATTCCGGTCCGTAAGCTGGCACCTTAATCGCCACCGGGCTATCTCGAACCCTACAATACAGCGTGAAACCACGACTCGGAGGAATTCTTATACAGAGTTTTCCAACGAAACAGTTATTCCGGAAACTCTATCCATTATCTACCTGTCCGAGCACAAGTCAAGAAAACGAACTAGGTCAAGGTTACTTTCATAAAGGAAACTACTACTCACAAAGTTACTGAAAACTCTTCGACAACCCACGACCGGTTTCGCCCTTCCAGTTCGGGCTCATCAGGTAGGCGCAGTCCCCGAGTTCCCGTCAACCTTATGGTCTACTTGAACCCAAATTGAGCTGTTTTCGAGAAATACACTCATTTGCAAATCAACTTGGTTTTCACGAGAGACTCAACTAAATCTCTCGTATAGGATATTCTACAACTGACTGTGCTGCACACAGGCCGCCTCATGTTTCAGTTGGTACAATATTTGAGATATGACAGTATATTTTCATAAGGAAACTACTCGCAAGGTTGCTGAATATCATACACGAGAAATTCAGTTGAGTCTGTCTTGAAAACCAAATCGATTTGCGAACTAGGTCAAGGTTAGTTTCGAGCTGACTGCAAGGATGTTACAGCGGTCCACAAACCAAAGAACACAATTCAAGTAAGCCTTACTAAAAAACCAAAATCGAAATTTCGGACAATGAATAAATGAAATTTGTAGAAAAAAAGTTCAATTCAGGGATAGGAAAAGCTGGAAGAAAGCGTTCCATCAGACTTGCATTTGGGTGGAAGCGTGTTAATAAACCGAGGAGGCCATCAACAAACACATTGAAAAGGGCGAAAGGATCGCGGAATTACCAGGCTCAAAACTCAATCGAAGGAACCAAGAGGACTTTAAAAACTCGAAGTAATAAAAACAACGCGATTGGAATGTGCAGCTGAACCAGCATCCAACAGAACAACAAATGGGAATTGCGTAAAGCGGTGAGACCAGCGAAATTTCACTGAAAGCAAGAAGTGTGATATGTGTGTGATCTTTTCAGGACTAGAAAAGGATGCAAACCAACTGAAACTCGACAAATACGCTCCCCATTTTGTCCAAATTAGTGGCTTGCCCGTCGGAGGTTCGCAGAACTCACACAAAGTCCCAAGTGAATGATACCTCCACAACAACTAACATTCAGAGGATAGATTAAGACGATCAGATCCGACAATTCCAACCACAGTTGTCTTCCACTTCCTGAGGTCATCCGCAGAAGGATTTTATCGTACGGTTCTAGATCTGTTTGTGAAAGGCGACGAGGTGGCCCAGTGCTTAGAGCGCCAGTTTATTGATCAGAAGATGCATGGTTCGAACCCTACCACTTCATCTCGACACCCTCTGTCTAGGCTTGGGCAGCTTGCTAGTATCCCACCCCTCGTGGCATGGCAGCTAGACAACGAAAGAATGCGATCTTTGTGGATCGATACACCAAATCTTTGAAAATATCTCCATTATGTTTCTATTTTTCGGGGGATCAAAGTTGAACGAGATCATCTGTGGTCGTTGGCTTGTTCGCTGAACTGGGCAATTTGGTTGCAAGCGTTTCATCACCGATCGAGGTGACATCATCAATGCGTAGTTGTGCGTAGCGGTAGGTTAGTGGTTGTCCGTTCAGTAGTGTTGCGTGTGTTCCATTGGAACCAATGGAACCGTCCGACAACGCAAGCCCAACACGACAGGAACCATGAAACCTGAAAGTATGGGCAAACTACTGGGCTTTTGAATGGATACATACTTTACCTTCGATGGACAAATATATCAATAGCTGAAAGGAACTCCAATGGGATCCCCAATATCGGGATTTATTGCTGAGGCGGTATTACAAAGGCTAGAGCGTGCAGTACTGCCGATCATCAATCCAAAGCTGTGGATCCGCTACGTGAACGACATCTTTGTCATCATGAAACGGGACTCAGTACACAACACACTGCTCAACACAAAGTTTGAAGGTATCAAGTTTACAATCGAACTGGAAAGAAACAATTGGCTACCATTCTTGGACGTCTTAGTGAACAGAAAGGTGGACGGGACTCTGGAAACCTGCGTACACCGCAAAGAGACTCATACGGACCAAACACTGAACTACAACAGTAATCATCCAGTAAACCACAAAAAAGAGCTGCGTCCAAACCTTGTTCAAGAGGGCGGAGACACACTGCAGCACCACAGAACTACGGAAGAAGGAGGAAAACCATCTATACAGAGTGTTCCAGAACGATGATTATCCAAGAAGTTTTATCAAGAGAAGCTTGAAGAAGAAGACATCTCAACAACAGCCACAGCAAGAACAAGCCACCAGACGGGTAGTCCTACCTTACATCAAGAATCTATCAGGACTCGCAACCAGATTATTGGCGCAAAAAGGAATCTTCGTGGCTCACAAATCGAGTGCAACTCTAGGGAAATTAATCTCTAGACCGAAGGACAACCGGGACAAAACCAAGAGGAACAATGTGATATACCAAATTGACTGCAATAAATTCTACGTTGGACAAACTGAGAGAAAATTATGTACACGAATAAAGGAACACAACGTGGCAGTCAGGAGGCATGACCCCCTGTCCTTGATATCTATACACGAGGACCAAGTAGGCCACAAATTCAATCTAGAAGACGCGAAAATTTTGGAATACGGAGACACACGACACGGAAGAGTATTTCTGGAAGCACGGTACTCTACGGCAGGTTCAATCAATCGGTGCATCGAACTGGATCCAATTTACGCACCTCTACGTGCAAAAAACCAACATCGCAACCGGAACACTCAAGGAGGACCGAATATTGGATTCACAAGGAAAGACATAAGGAACTCCTCGGAGTCAAATCAACCAAGGTCACAAGCCGGAACTCGGAATGACAAAGATCACTCCAATATCGACCAGATTACGACGGCGAGGGATGCCAAGCTCAAAGGTCACGTGGGCATCGGCGAATGAAGACACGGGATAAAAGAACAACCAATGGAACCGCCCAACCGAATAACTAATCGCGGTCAAAGGTCACCCCCGGCTACCATCACGTATATCAACACAGACGTAACACTATTGAACGCACAACCACTAACCCACTGCTACGCACAACTGCGCACTGATGATGTCACCTCGATTGGTGACGAAACGTTTGCAACCAAATTGACCAGTTCAGCGAACAAGCTAAAGACCATCTACGCTACCTGAGCTACCAACATTCTCCTCTATAGAAACCATCTGCTTCGTTTTGTTGACCACTAACCTTCCAAAGCTGCTTATGCATTCGTCAGATACACTGGTTGGACAATTGTGTGCCTTTCCTCACAACCCTCGGTCGTCATTTTCCGTCCATCGGACTGTGAATTGCTCTGTCCCCGTGGTAATTTCGTCTTCCTTATTGTCGTTAGATTTTCAACATTGTGGATTATCGTCACCAAGTTCGGTTTGGTCTGTATATTTGCTTATTACTATCGTTCTGTGCAAGGTCTCTTCAGATTGGCCTTCTTGCGTAATCCGTGTTTATCTAGGGCAACAAACACCCAGTTCTTTCATCATTTAGCTTGTTCCAAATTTTTTTAATGTCACCTTATTCGTTCATCAAAGTCCTGTGAAAAACTGTATTTATCACGCCCAAACGCATCCACAAAGCCTCGGTGCTTTAAACCTAAAATTAGACAGGGAAGGACGCCACTGGGTAGCGTGTTTGCCTAACGAAACCATTTGTCTTTCAATGAATTAAAACGAGCTTTTAATCCCTGTGTCGTTGCACCATGTGCGAGAACAAAGAAGGCCCGCAATGGCCTAGAAAAAATCCGTAGATCTTTTGCGCGTCAAAGCAATTTGCCGGTTGAATTTTCGGAGCAACATTTCCGGAGAGGTGTACTACTCGACGCAATCATTGGTCGAAAGCAGACATCAATGGGACTCGGATAAGTTGGTCTGACCGTCCAGGATGAACGCTTTTTTGGAGCCTGCATCCACTGAAACAGCCTTCATTTTAGTGTTTTACCGGCAAACCTGCCACATCCCACCAAAGGTTGGTGTTAAAAACTTCTCAAGCTTTTGAGAACACAACGTTGTAGAAGGTAGATTTGCGAGCTACGTGAACTAACGTCCTGATATCCGGATACGCCATCCGACCGCACCTGCTACGGACAAATAAGTTCACAGTAGCTCGCCTGTTCAAGTCCCCTCCACAACGTCTCTTCTGCATTCAAGCTTTTGTGAATTTGATAATTTACCCCTCCCCCAACCTAGATCCAGTTGCAGTGGACAACAGCATCCCCAGGAAGCACATCTCTTGTACAACCATCTGCATACTACATCTTCCCGATGCGACTAGGTTTCAGTTCCCAGATCACGTCTCCATGTCTTACTAGTGAAATTAATCCCGAGACGCCGCCCCTCCTAAATCCAGTTGGCGACTGAGTACCGAATATCAGTCTGTGGCGGAGCTGGGGACTCACCCACACAAAGTCAAAGTAATCCGAACAAAGAGTGGAAACTACTTAAAACGATGGCTTTCAATTAGCCTATCACATTCAAGGAACTCATGGTAAAATGAACCGATTGGAAACGATAGAAAAGGGGCTTCTTGTTAACCAGTTCTGTTGGAGACATTGTGTACTCTTGGCTAAATTACGTAAACACACACCTTGGTGAATGAAGCAATCACCAAATGACACAATTAATCGAATCAAATCACTCAGCTTTACTACCCTTTCGGTGCCTAGCTGCCATGCTATCCGAAGGAAGCACGAGGGCTGGGATACTGCCAGGTCGCCCAATCCTAGACAGGGGAAGTCGAGAGGCAGAGGTCGGGTTCGAATCATGGACCTTCCGATCAGTAACTTCACACTCTAACCATCTCGCTCCAAATGGCGGATTCACAAACCAGTTAACAAGCTCCATGAACAGACCAACAAACTAGCGAACAGAGTATCAGTGGGAACTTCCTTTTCTATCAAACCTTGCGTACGTTGTCAGATGATGTGCCTACTTCAGCATAATAGGTCGGTACGAGTTAGTCTAGTCTCGACTAGCGTTTCCTCGCGTGTTCGAAGGCGAAATGGGACCATTATCCATGCGATCTGTGCTATCAGTCACTTAGGCAGTCGAGTCGGGGAGCCATTAGACCGTTGTTAATATGGTTGATGAATAGCAGACCGATAGGATTTTTCACGAAATTTGACTACTTGAGAGTAGTCACTTTTCAGAATTATTGGTTCTGCTGTAGTACCTTTTCGGTGCTTAGCTGCTATTCCAGCCGAAGGAGGCACGAAGACAAGTCTAGACAAGTGCAGTCGAGATGCTGAGGTTGGGATTGAACCATGGACCTTCCGGTCAGTAAGCTGGAGCTGTAACCACCGAGCCACCTGGATCTCAAGGTCATCAGGCCTGTAAAGCTTCATTTAGAAGGGCATAATCACGAAGGCTAAATCTGATTAGAGCCGGCCTTCATGCACACTGTTCTGGCTACGTGATTCAACCAAATTCAAGGTTTGAAATCTCAACAAACCAGATGTTGAATCTCGCAAAAAAGAAAATGCCCGGTAGTATGCACTTCCTGGTTGTGTTGGCTATGAACGGTCCTTTATTTTATCCTCTCTGCATCATGATCACCTCTGTGGTACGAACTCCAGACGACTCAGTGGTTGAGACTCGAACCCGGCCCCTACCTGAATTTGGACAACCTGGCAGTATATCGGCCCTCGAGCGGGAGGGCATGGAAGGTGAGATGGACCGTTTTTTATTGTTTCTTGTGTAATACGACTGAATTCGGTAAGCTTTTACAAGGGCCCAGTACAAAGAATTGACTGCTTAGGTAGTTCAGTTAATGGCTCAGTCGCTGGTATCCGCATACCACCACGATCTACTGTCGAAACCCCGGGATCAAATTGACAAACACGGTGACCGCTTGCTTACTCGCTCAGTCCTTATGGAAAGGCTAGCTACAAGCAAATCCACACACCGTATCCTCCCTATAGGACATCTCCAAACGATAATGTACCCTAAGAAAGAATGGCTTAATTATTCGAAATTTGTTTGCAATGCAAGTTCCTCTACAATCAAAAAAACTTTTTTGGTCCGCTTGCACTTGCGAAGAATGTGACATTTTCGTCGGCTAGCATTTGCAAGTCGTCATCAAAAAAAGAACAACAGCACCTATTCGTTGTTCATGTCAGCATCGCACCGTTATACTATCGTTTCTTTTTCTTCGGTTGGTCCATATTTTGCTTCTTGGTTCGCTGTAAATCCACCCAATCTGGGGGCCCGTTATCCCTCTCACCTGCAGAACCTTCACAAGTGGAACAAAACCTTCCAAAATGTTGCTTTTTGTCGCGTATGTACTCAAACCAAAAAAACTGTCTTAATCTACGTTCATATTTTTGCAGCTCACCAAAGTTCATTGTTCACTGAAGCAGTCATTCCTCTGACTGAGAAGTCTTATGGGATAAATTGCCAGCATCGCTTAAACCCCGGGATCTCTAAACGGGGCTTGAAAGTTTGGACTCTCGATTGCTTTAGTCCATCAGGGATAGGTCATAACGTCCGAAAATTCAATTTCATTGTGCGAATACTGAGCGCCCTCAATCTGCGCGATGTTCGATTTTTTTAGCGGCCCGCCACCAGACACACTCACACTTTGCCTTCAGATGATTCGGTACTAGCCAGCTAGTATCATCGATGATTGATGAAGGTGCTGAGTGGAGACGTGTACAATCAGCTTGGGAATTATGGGAGGACATTAACGAAAGATTAACAACCGGTGTGGCGGTAACTGGCAAAAATGATGTCCGCAGAGTAAACAACGGCAAGGTCAAACGGTGAATAGCATTATGGACCAAGCCGAACCGGCTCAAACGAAGTTGTGAACACATCAACCAGAAACACCACGTCATGATTTATCTAGCCTCTCAGCACAACCGAGCAGGATCTTCTAATCGCAAGACTTGATCGATATAACACAGAGACGGACAGTGTCCCAAGTGTTTCAACACCGGTGTTGACCAGAACACAGAAGCAACAGGAAGACAGAAAAAGATATTCAATATATAATCTTTCCAACAAAACAGTGGAGGGATGACAGCCGTAAACGACAAGTTGGGTTGAAATGGTGTGTTTCTCACTGCAAAATAGGTGGAGGTGAAAGGCCGTTCCTCCACTCCCTTTCTACCTTTCACCGGGACCTTCCCCCATGTATGTATGACAGTTAAGCACAATTTTCCACTACTGGGTATAACCGTCTGTGACAGTGATGGCAGTTGAACTAATCGGTTAACTGCGACGATAGAACCAGTTCAGCTGAGCAGGAGACGCCAGTTGGCGATTTGACGGAAGACCCATTGTGTCGAAATAAGGAAGCAGTTCTCAAAAAAACGTAGCACATTAAGATGAGGGATAGTGAAATTATACCATCGGAACTCAGCGTTCGCGGGTCCCAAGAAGGTCGTTCTATAAGCGCTTTATCGTGCTTTAGACTAGTCACGTGTATATTCCAGTTCACAGTTTTTAATCAACCCCGAGCGGCTATCGATGATGAGGTCTCCAATAAGGACAAAGCACTGAATTCCCTTTCCAGGACCGACTACCTTTGTTTTATACGTATCTTTTTGAAATCACTGAAACCATGGTTCAGGATCGATCAGGTTGTGAAAAATTTGGAAAACGTTCGTTCATCTAATAATGGACAAACGTCAAATGCATTCCGCAGCGTTTCACATCAATCATCCTCGGCATTTTGAAAGAAATTGTAATGAAGACACTTCAGAACCATCCGATCCGACCGGGAAACGTGTGCCAGCTTTCGGAATACGCGTGAATATACATGTGAAATTTTTGGAGGACACAAACGGGGCGTCGGATATGACCGCCAATGGATGAATTTATGACCGAAGCAATAATGCAGAAACTGGAACACAATGAACAACCCCAAAATCCCGAATCCCCCAGGTGGACGACACTTTTGTTGCTATGCTTACAGGTGTTAGTGGGAAGACTCAATGAGGCATTGGAAGACGGTAGAATTGGGAAACGCTAACCAATCACCAGTCCTCAGTGGATTACTTAATAGGATTATGAGTGAAACTCCTCAATATTGAGCGCCGTTCGTTCGTTCAGCTGTAGCATTCTTTTGGTGCCTAACTTCCATGCTACCNNAAGGAAGCACGAGGGCTGCGATCCTGCCAGATTGTCCAAGCCTAGACAGGGGTTGTCGAGAGACAGAGGTCAGGTTCGAACCACGGACCTCTCAGTTAGTAGGTTTGCGCTCTAACTACTGAGCCATCCCGCCCCAGCACTGAGCCTATCACGCAATTATTCAGCTCTAACGCCATTTAAATGAATGGTTGTTACGCAACCCGAAGGAAGCTCGATGGCTAAGATGCTGCCAGGTTGCTCAAGTCTAGCTAGGAGTAGGCAAGATGCTGAAGTCGGGTTCGAACCACCGACCTTCCGGTCAGTAAGTTCGCCCCCTAACCACTGAGCTATCCCAAGCGTATCAGAAATCAGCGTATCCAACAAGGCAACCATAAATTCAACTCCAAATTAATTGTATCCAGACTCCACCCAAGAGAGCAAAGAGACCCTAGAGTTTTGAGAAGTTTCCATGTCGACTGCTGCGGGGCGAGATGGTACAAGTGGTTAGAACCCGACCTCTGACTCTTGACTTCCCTTGTCTAGGCTTGGGCAATCTGACAGTATCCCAGCCCTCGTGCAACCTCCGGGTGGCATGGCAGCTAGGCACCTAAAGGGTGCTACAGCCGAACGGTTTTTTTGTTTCTCAAATGCTGCATGAAAGAAACTCCCCAAGTTTGTCGGAAGACGAATTCCAAGAACAAATTGAATTTGGAAGATCTTGAAGGCCTTGGAATTCAGAAATGCGCCAAAGGCGAGGAAATTCCCGGGGCCACGACTCTGCGACGAATTCAACCAATCAGATTGAATTTTCCTTAGAATGCTTTGGAAAAAATTATCGAAGCCGACAGTTAGTCTCCTAGAGGCTTAACCTTCTGGATAGCGAGGACTAAACGGGAAACTGTAAGGGTAGGCGTCCAGCAAGATTCTTTGTACACTAACAGAAATGCAGTAATTTTGCTTGTTGACATGTGAATTTCCACAAGCGGATCAATTTTTTCTCTTGATCGATTTCCGGGGCCACCACATGGTGTATGGAAAAAGCCTCAATGCCTGACCTCGTCCAGTGTTACGAGTCCGGCGTCACACACCGCCTGCACCACTCCAAGTATCTGATCACAAAGAACTTTTTATGAACTGGCGTCTTTGATAATTTCCAGTTTTATTCTAGAATCGACGTACCGTCATTTTGTAATGTTCACTTACGCTTATCGTCAACTGTGAGGTACTTGGTATGGGACAAATCAATGAAAGTGCCGGACGCTTCCAACTAGTTCAGCGAGATCACCAGCCTGATGAATCCATCGATCAGTTCGTCCTGGTGAAAGAAAGAAGGGCTTCGCTCCGGGGTCATTTATTAGAAAATGCCAACCGAACAGTTACAAACCATCGAACAGGGAAACAAAACTCCTATATGCATCTTGTTTACAAAAACTGAACATCCATCCTGTCCTTGAACGCGTCTTCTTGAACTTTCCCGGATATTCATTGACTGTTACTCAGTTGCAAGCAAATGCTACAAAGCGACTCCACAAATTCCTTTGAAAGAGCTCACTTTTTAAGAGAGGCAAAGCGGATTCGCGAGAAAACATACTACTCGCATGCCTCCCCCATCAGTAGTGTCACCGTTACACTGGTACTGAAAGGAACTGGGAAATCGTGCAACTTTTTTGGATGTGTGAGAAACAACCTGATTCTGGATAGGATGATCCTCAGCATTAGAGGTAACCAAGATACTTTTGAAATAACGCACGCTGTATTTGAACCAATCTATTCGTATAGGCCGCAGTGAGACAGCTGCTGAGAGTTATGTGAGATGTCTGAGTTCAAAGGACTCCTTAGTGCCAGTTACAGCTACTGTGGAACAAGGCAAGTGAAGACCAAGTGTCCAGATGCAAAACGTGAATTACTTCGTCGGACAGTACGGTTTCTAGGACTGTGATATCGTTGGAAGCGAGCGAAGAGTAACAGTCTTGTCTAAATAAAATCAGAGATCGCTCTAATGTCGCAACATTGTGGACAGAGTCGAATAGCAACAAAGATCTCGTATCGATATCGGAGCAACTTTCAGCATCTTTGCAGAAAACCACATCGGTGCTGTCCAAGTCGATAAGCTGAATGCGATTCCACAAATGAAAAAACCACATCGGTGCTGTCCAAGTCGATAAACTGAATGCGATTCCAGGTCACAAATGAAACCCAAGGGCAAGATTCGATTGACAGTGACAAACAAGTTTGTGGAACAGCGAGATAAAAAATGAGTTGGGGAGTTTGTGGTCGACTCCAACCCTCCGACTTTCATTCATTCAAAAACTGAATTTTAGTTAGATTAACTTGCGTGCGTTGATTCTCTAGCATTTTTGACAAGCCGATCTCTGGTTTCCATTCAAAGTTGAGCTGTTTTTCTGAGGAAGCCAACTTACTTTTGGTAGGTACCCCTGTGAGAGTTCTAGTCGCCTTCCGGTCCAGTCTTGAGCATTCGATGCAGTGACATTTAAATGCGAGTAGCCGGACGAACGTATTAGATAAGTCTGATTGCAGTAAAGTTGAAAACGTCCGGGCCTATCCAACAGGGTGTAGATCTTAAGCCACGTAATGCCACCTCACGGAACGCAAATAATACCGAATTCCACACGCCAATGACTTTTCTGCAGAATAAAACTAAGTGCGTTTCTTCACAGCCTTTGACTGCACCTGCCATTCTGACTCAAGGTATCCAGTGAGACGTTCCAAAAATAACTCATTTAAGTCATTGACAGGGTATACGGCCTGATCCGCATAGCCGTTGATATCCCCCCTTACGACAGAACCACGGGGGCGAGATTGCTCAAGTGATTAGAGTGCGAATTTACTGACCGGAAGGTCTGTGGTTCAAACCCGACCTCTGCCTCTCGACTTTCCCTGTCTAGGCATGGACAACCTGGCAGTATCCTCGTGCATCCTTTGGGTGGCATGGCAGCTAGGCACCGAAGGGGTGTTACAGCTAAGCTTTACGATAGTTACGAGAATTCGGCACGATTCTTTGAGAGACAAGGACTACCAGTGGTTTTCATTTATATCAGGAACATGTCGTACCAGAGGAGCTGCAAAGGCTTGTTTTGCAATAGTTTCACAAAGAACATCTCGAGGTAAAACCGGATGGAATCCGAAGCTATGTTTATTGGCCTCATAATGACGGCCAGCTTGAAGCGCTCATCAAACCTTGCCACCAATGTGCGTTGGCTTCAAAGTCCCCTAGAAAAGGTAAACTCCGTCACTGGCCGGTACCACAAAATTCATGGTGGACTATGCAGGTCCCATGAACGGTCAAAGTTTCCTCATTATCGTGGCCAGAGAGACAACAACGACCACAGCAACCATTAACAATTTGCAGGAAGTCTTTAGTCGTTTCAGATATCCTGAGAAGCCCGTATCTGACAACGGGACACAGTTCGAGTCATCCCCATTCACGGACTTCTCTTTTGATAGGGAGATTGAACACGCTAGAACGCCTCCTTATCACTCACAATCAAACGGCATGGCAGAATTACTCGTGGGTACTTTCAAACGAGCTTTGCTTAGGGCGGAGGAACCACGGCAAACATCCTACAACAGTTCTTCTTAATGTACCGCCTGATTCCATATCCGTCCACACCGGAGGGCAAATCGCCTGCAGAGACACTAGTCTACCGAACTCCTCGGAGCACCTTTGATCTTCTGAAGCCTCCAAAGAAGGAGGTGGCTTCATCAAATCAGAAAATGGAGTCCTCCTATAATCGCAAGCATGGTGCAAGGTGGCGACACTAGTGCTAGCGTGTTAGTAAAGGACTATCGTGGTAATCGCGTATCCTGGCATCAAGGCAAAATCACTCGGTGACTCGAAAACGTCATCTATGATGTTCGCGTGGGTTCCGAGAGATGAGTTCGTCATGCGAATCAGTTAAAAGAAGCCTATTCACAACCCATCCAGAGATTGAATGCGTTGCCTCTGAACATTTTGATAGAACACCTGGACAAGAACAGATGAAGGACAACCAACATTCAAGTCCCGGAGCAGCTGCCAAAAGCGCTTGTGTATCAACAATCACGAAGGACGACACGCAGAAGAAAGCCAGTGACAAAGACTTAATTTAATCCGAGACAGAAGACTTATACTACTCAACTTCGAAAGGGAGATACTAGGAGAACCAGCTCCGAACGTAACGGGACTACGTAACAGCGGGTGGAACAACCGTTTTTCGTTGAGAGAGATTTCATTGCTTATTCTTCACTTGACCTTGACAGATGAGTTGTATTCTTGTACGTGACAGTGATAGATAGATCAGCCGGTTCGCACGTTCATTGACTCTTTCTGGTTTGGCCAAGAGCACCAGGCTATCAATCGGATATCCAGACCGGGGTTTACGGTAATAAGAAGACATTAAGGAGACTGTCGTTCACACTGCAGGGTAGTGTATTCTGTGTCCTATATTTGGTCCCTTTGTTACCTCAGTATGGGTTTTTTTCAACACCGATCCAGAGGCAATCAATGACCGATGCCTTTTTGAGCACTGACCCAACTTGTGCCACGTTCAGTGCACGCAATTAACAGACACACATACGAAAGCCGGTTGTTTTTATTTTTGATGCCGATGATAATATAATCTCAACAGGAGTCATAAACGTGTGTTTGTGTGTGTGTGTGATGGTTTGTCGATAAATAATCAAGTATAGAAACTGGAAAGACATTAAACACGGGGGGGGGGGGGGCAAACGTTTGCGGAAGCGATAATGAACTATGTAACATGCCTTGTTACACAACATTTTCACGTGGATATGGAGTATAAAGAATCGAAACGATAGTCGGCGAACGGGGGGGGACAAAGAAACCAACTGGGAGGGGGAAAATAAAGCCAGACCGTCCGGGTCAAATCATGGGAGATGATGGGTTGAGGAGAGGTCGCAAATGTGACATTCGAACAGCAGGCAGAACCACCAATAAACATGGAGATAACAGTAATATTAATAATAATAATAGTAATAATAATGGAACGCCTTAACAACATTTCAGAAATACCAAGAGCTATGCACCTATTCGAGGAGCCCGGAGTGTCCCAAAACATACTTGTATCGATCGATCTCATAGATTGGATGATAACGGTGGATAACTGAATGTTCTGGCGGCGCCGTGGAGAAAGACTACGGTTTACGCAAAAAAAAACAATGAGGATATGTGCTCAGATGCGTGGAAGATGAAGGGAGGAAAATAACAGGACTGGATTCTGAAGGTGATTCCGTCTTTGGGCATAAATGCTGGCGCAGAACACACGCATACACATATATGTACACAGATATATGAACGCTGGAGATCAGATAGGCTTTTTTTATGTTAACTGGATGGGAAATAGAAAAATATATCCATTCGAAATTTCCACTCGGGGAGGTAATTCTGTCAGCGGTGATTCAGTTGCATGCATTGGTCGTGGGGACACCGGGACACCGAGAGACTTTCAAATTTAGTCAAAGATTAATTCATCAGGCCGAAGGGATCACAGGGGTTTTATCCATGACAGACGGCAAACTGACGTGCCTTTCGGCTGCTAACATTTTGGATGTGACAGAGTCCGATGAATCCAGTGGGGATTTTTGAGAATGCTTGGTGTGTCGAGAATGCACTTCGATTTCAGGGTCCCCCGCTCGGGGTGGGGTAGTCACTCGTACTTTGCTTTGTCTTTTTTTGTTCACAGGGGGTTTGCTGACTGTCGACGACGAATGCTGCTGATTTGTGAGTTCTGCCCGATGGTTTGGGCCTCCTTCTTCCTCCGCTTCGTCTCTTTCGTCTGCCACCTCAGCGACCGATGGAGGCTGGATGTGTAAATTAAGACCTCGCGCTTGTTGGAGCACAGAAAATCGCAGTACATCGGACAGGGTAACAACTCCTTCAACGCGGTAATCGATGGTGTTGTTCACGACGATGAGACGTCGAAACTGTTTTTGGATGATGATGATGATGAAATAACGGGGAGAAAAACGTTTACGGATTGAATAACTAGTTTCGCCAATCAAAAAACAACTTTAAACAAACGATCAAACAGTGGAACTTCAGATAGCAGATGAAAAACTAGAGTTCCAATAATTGTGTTGGCACACCAAGTTTTTCACTCTTATCCGGTTAGGAATTTTTTTCTCAATTCTCGACAGCATCTACTTATGAAGTATTATGTAAAAGAAAGTGACCTAATTTCATCTATACTCGTCGAAATGAAATGTTGAGAAACTGTCAAGGATATTGTTGTTCATTATCACTTGTTCTTTGCAAGCAGTATAACTAACATGGTCATGAGTGATTGAAGCTGACCTGTCGGCGAGAATGGTGACGGAGGTAGCCACCATGTGGATTATTTACAGTAATGGTGTGCCAGACGGCAAGTGAACACTACTCAGCCATAGCTCGAGCCAGTTTATATCTTTAAACCGTTGGTTTTTGCCTCTGGAAGCCCGCTCTCACGAGCGCATATCAAAATGAGCAGTCAGAAACTTACCCCAGTTTTCACCAGCTTCTCCATGACAAACAATAGGTTATTCGAAGCGAAGCATATTTCCACTGCAGGTTTCACGCGTTGCTCCGAAAATGGAGGTTGGTTAGGCTGTGAAAACAGTGGGAAATGAAATTCCATGTATAGCTGAGCAGACAATTAGGAGTTAAGCGTTCGTATACTACGACAAAAGTGCAAGGAGCCTGCCCTGGGAAGGATGTAGGCATCCATTCAGTGGGGTTGCACGAACAGCCTAGCCGTGGGTGGCTTAGAAAATGAAGTGGGGGACAGAGTTGTGTGAAGCAGGGGCGGCGACATATTTGATGACGCGCTGGGGAATTCTTGGCTGTTGTTGCCACATTTTCTATGGGAAGACTTATCAGTCTAGCAGGAAAACTGCTCACATCAGTTTCTTCCGCCGGCTCTTTCAAGGCTCTCCGTCTCCATCGAATTGTTGTTGCCCGGTGTAGATGAACACTGTCTACCTGGACTGATACCGTCTACAAAGCTTCCTTGGGAAAGCCACCTTGCTCACAGAGAAACACCTGATTTTGGGAATCAATCTACCAGTCGACAAAAACGTTACATCCGTTTTATCCCAAGAGTGACAGGGGTGTCAAAAGGTATATGACAACCTTGAAGTGTGATAGATCAATGGGAATGGGAACGTCTGCACCGAATGTGATAACAATAAAGACGAGGAAGCAACGCTGACATCACTAGCGAAGTGTGAACATCACCGCACGTCTAGCACTTACCTTACACTCCTCGAGCCATTCTTGAATAGTCAGTTCGGGCTTCTTGTAGGCGCCCGTTAAAATCAATGACTGGGAAGAAAGAAAAATAGAAAAAAATAAACTTTATTTATTGTGATTTCCGTACAAGCTTCAAGCAACGACGCTATCGATGATCGCAGGGCTCGGAAAAGCGAAAAGTGTGCGTGCACTTTCGGTGGCCAAACGACGCAGTCTTGACTGTCAAATACGTCATCATCATCATCATCATCATCATCACCATCATCATCGACAACATGACATCAGTGTCCAACACCGATGCTTCANCAAACGACACAGTCTTGACTGTCAAATACGTCATCATCATCATCATCATCATCATCATCGACAACATCAGATCAGTGTCCAACACCGATGCTTCACTGAGGTACAACCATGACTCAAACGATTGCCACCTACCTAGACGGAGACCCCCAAACTCATCTCATTCATGGTTGATTGCGTTGGAAGACTTGGTTAAATCACGTAGTCATTGACGTTTCAGTGTCAGAGCGAATGCTCTGTTTGTAGTTCATTCAACACTGATTCACCTATTATGCCCCACCCCCACCCCGTTTTCCGGTGAGTGAAACCGTATCAGACGGTAGTTGGTTTATAGCTGATGATAAACTGAACCGAGCTGAATGTTCCATCGCATGAAACAATGGATTGATTCGTGTTACCCGTGAATTGTATTCGCCGTAATTAGAGCTTCACATCTTGCGCACAAATAAACAGGTTTTTACTAGATCGAACGAATTTGTTGAGACAGAGAGAGGCAATATACGCCAATCAGAATTTCGCACGCTTGGTGATTTTCAAGGTGGGATTAACAAAGCATAATTATTTTCGATGAAAAACAAAACGGAATGAGCTGAAATCTCACATGATCAGACGGTTCAACTGAACACTATTCATTATCCCCATTCATATTGTCTTGTCCTGTTCATCATTCACTTGCGTCAAAACTCCAAAACACCATGTGCTTTCCCTACCTGGATAAGACAATAGGATTCACGGTGGAATGGTGGTGGATCAGGTGACTAACTAGCACGTGACTTATCGGGAACAGTGCACGCAAACTATCCACTCTTAGCTACCTATTCACTGGATGGAAAGGATCAAGAGTGGAAGAGAACATGGAGAGTGGAATAAACCCCACCTAACTAGGTGTAATATATGCTTCATGTAGTGGCATTTCCTGACCAATCAGATGGAAACAGAAAAGAGCAGTAAATTTGGATGAACACGCAAACTAAGATAGTCAACCAGAAAACGGTTGATTTCCGGGCTGCATCGCGTCAAAACAACTCTCTCCCCGCTTCTGTTTTTCCCCAAAATATGTAACAGAGCTGCGTTCTATTTACATTCCCTAATTTGATGGATATACTTTGTTTTTCTTCTGTCAGAAAGCACCCGAGCGTACTGTGAAGCCTTCTATGTTCAGCAATATCGTACAACCCAGGTGTGACCGACACTCCCCGTTAAGTCTCTGCGACACAATTTTGTTTGGCTTGTTCACTGAGCTGAGCAGTTTGATTGCAGACGTTTCATCACCAATCGGGACGACATCATAAGTGCGCTATTGGGGAAAACAGCCTTGTTTCTTCCTCTAACTCAGCCAGCCGGTACATTTCAACCCAGCCGGCCCCGGACAACCGATCGACTGATTTAACTTCCCGCCAATTGAACACACAAGCGACTCCGCGTGCCTCCACGTACTGGCGCGATTAACAAACCCTATTGTGGCCATGGATTGCACTCGTCATTTTTTATGCGTCGTCGAAATTTCGGCTTCATTGTAACGAAGATTTCAATAGAACAGTCTTGTCCTTGTAGCAACTTCGTTCAGCTGTAGCACCCTTTCGGTGCCTAGCTGCCATGCCATACGTAGGAGGCACGAGGGCTGGGATACTACCAGGTCACCCAAGCCTAGACAGGAGAAGTCGAGAGGCAGAGGTCGGGTTCGAACCACCAGCCTTCCGGTCAGCAAATTCGCGCTCTAATCACTTGGGCCATCTCGTCCCCGTTGTAGCAACTTACCAGCGAATTTCGTGCAAACCGATTCACTGATCTTCCAAGTTCACGCCAGAGTAGATTATCAATCGCCCTAAGACATGGACACAAATTTAGCACTTTGATGAGCTTGACTGAAAAAGTCGACATCTGCGAGCATAAGATGGGAAGTAGATGATAGAGCTCCTCAAGTGAGCGCCTAGCTTGGCTCCCTACTTTTTTATTAGAAGTTAAGAGGTCATGTGTGCTCCACCCATCTTGATGTCAACATTATGAACACACCAGGAGCGCTCCTCGTCATCAGCGATCCTAGGAAACAGAACATTCCCATTCCACTGAGTTTGAAGACGGTTGCATTCAGGCTGCACTCCCTTCGCCTCCCTCAAAAAAAACGTAGATTGATGTCTCGAAGTTGATATTTTCGGTTGAAGATGACTAACACTGAGCAGCATGAATCTGCTGCACAGGCCCATACTCATATTGCTTGCATGGATAAATAGCTCTTTGTACGAAACAAGATGTCCTGTTGGACCAGCTGGAACGGTTGACCGCGGATACGGTCATGAAATAATGGTCTTGCGGTTCAGTTGTAGCACCCTTTTGGTGCCTAACTGCCATGCAACCTGAAGGAAAAACAAGGGATGGGATAATACCAGGTTGCTCAAGCCTAGACAGAGGAAGTCGAGAGGCAGAGGTCGGGTTCGATCACGGACCATCCGGTCAGTAAATTTGCGCCCTAACCACTACGTTATCTCACCCCAATAACGCTCTTATGAAACGAGGAACGCGGAAAAGCCAAATTTATTGGACAGCCATGAAGTCTCCCAGTCAACTACCATCACGTGATCGGTAGAATGTGCGCTGGGCAAATAGAGACTCGAATGTTTATTCATCATACACATCTGCCACTCGTGGTGATACTACTCGCAAAATGACCTATCAACGATATGGAAAGATGGGAAAAAG